CAGAGGGTCCTGTGCCAAATGTCGTAACTCTTTTTTTGACAAATTACTTCTAGTACTTCTCTAAGTCTGGTAAACTATTTATCCGTAGTACACACATAAGTTACTTAAATAACAAAAAGTCAACGTCAAGTGTCAAAAAGTATTGGAATAATTTACTAGCATTTTTAATATTTTGATAAATCGCCCAGAAGTTTTTGAGTTATTTCAATACATACAAAAATACAGAAATACAAATCATTCCTCTTTATAATAGCAGAGAAGTAGTATTCTATGTCATTAACTTTACACTCAAATAGCCCTCCAGAAAAATCTAAATTTTTGTGTTACGACTATATTCGTAGGAGCCGTTTTATTATTAATTATTATGCTCACATTTTCGCAACCGAAAAAGGATGGCCGTCGTCATTACGGATACAAAGCGAAATCCTTTGCGAAAGTGCATCCAGTTAATTAAAAACATAAACAATTAAGTTAATTATCTGCAAATGATTACTATCGTATTATCCTGACACATGTAACATTTATTGTCTGTGCCGCCGACATTCTTTAATATCGTATTCTCATTAAAATTATTTGTTTATCTTCGCTCTCTAAAAGAGAAATTTAATGTAGCTTTTACTTGTTATTCTGGACAATAATTACTAATGAAAAATATTCAAAAATACATTTATATCGCTAAATACTGTTTCAAATTACATATAGCTATGCTTTGCTACATCTAGGGTTGTCGAGTTACTTTTATTAAAACACTCATTCTGAAAGAAACCCATACCTCAAATGAACAAACCAAAATAATTAGTTTCAAACTCCAAAAGGTGGCAACCCTACTACGAACCCAAGTTCAAATAGAAAACAACTAAAATAACATTATTGGCTGTACCATATGTATCATTTGTTGACACAAATTTTGTGTCACAGGAGGATTAAAAAAACTAACGACTGCCAGAAGCAGCACATGTGTGTTCCTTTGACTCAATACTACCAAAAAATTAAAAAAAAACTACAAAAACAGTTTCAATACGTATTGTACTGCAATGACTTTAGAGTTCAAATTCGAATAAACATTAAAATAACATTTCTACTGCAAATACAAAGCTGTTAACTGTAAATTCTGGCTAAATATTTCTTGTCGTTATGAAATACAAAGTTATGGCGGTTTTATATAATAACACATTTTCAAGATCTTATTATAAAGACTTAAGATTTAATTTGCTGTAAATCGTCTGCAGATTTAATCTGTAACAAGAACGCATAATCTTTGACCTCAAAGACTATTTATCTAAATGTTTATTTGGCGAAATGTCACCGTTTTAAGTTATTATAACTTCTTAACTAGTGAGCCTTTTTTTTCTTAAGCAGATGATAAGTTCTTACTGAAATGACAACACAATGATTAGAAAGACATATTGAAAGCGTTTAGATTGGATTTTGAAACTATCGTAAATCAATCAATGATTTATTTCAATAAATTATAGCTTTTACAGCATCGAAAATTGGTTATGTGAAGTTTTTTTGTCTGTAGAAAATGAACCCAGGTAATTTTAAGGTTAGAAAGCCGCCTTTTATGAGATTTTCAATACTTTAGGTTCTTTAACGAATCGCGTACCGAATCAATGCGCCGTAGGATTTTGTCGTCTTGCGAAAAAGAACCTTACTTTAAATAGTAGACAAGTGTTATTAAATAATCTCTTGTTTATTACATTATCCTGTAATACAAATGAGACATGTAATCCAATAAATACGTTATCCAAGAATAAACAAAGAAAGTGAATTAACCGATAGACAAGATAGTATAGCGTTCCACCGAAAAAAAATGCTAATAAAAGGTATTATAATGCGACCTTAACGTCTATACCACCTGATGCGTTTTTTAGCTACAGGTGTGAGGGCGCAGTGCTGCCACCTTGCGGGGCGCAGGTGACCGCGCACGCGCAACATTCGGCGGAAAACGGAAATTCCGCATGCTGTCTATGACAATTACTTTCACATGTTCATACTGATAATCGCTTTGTTTACAATTTTGGAAGATTAAATATGTAGCTTCAAAAAATCCTCTTTCAATTTGAAACAATTGTAGACAATGATATTTGTTTGAAAAGCTCTGTGAAACAAGCAACAGCAAATTTACGGCCGAATCTTAAACCTTCATTACAATCTAAAAAAATAATATATAATATATAAATTTTAATACAATTTGAATGGACCAAGTGCTTTACGCCAGATGGGGTGCTGCTTAAATCTATTATCTATACTTCTATACTATTGTAATAAAGTGTAAACAAACACTTCTTTGTTGCCTAAGATGTCAACAACTACACCATATTTTTGAATAAATCTTTTTTTTAATAAAAGAAGCAAGCCCTACACTTTCGTCACGCTTTAGGCTATATATTTTCACGCCATTGAACTTAGGGGGTAAATATTTTGGATAAAAACCCTAATGTGGGAAAGAGACCATAAGTTGCTGCCAACATCAAGGAATCAAGATTGCTAAGGTTTGATATGTAGCGCCATGTCATGTCACTTTGACATTTGTAATTGATAATTTGACAAATGTCAACAATAAAATAAAATTTTCATCAATTAAACATCTAGTAAATTATAAAGGTTATGAACACTTTCTCTCAAATATTCGTGCTAAACCACAGTTCTTGCAGCAAGTCTAGATTTCCAATATTCCGCAAACGGTAATTTCGCTTCGTTACTTATCGCATTGATTTTCATACGTCAGCAAAATGTATTCATTACGAAAAGGATTCGAATGCCAAGTCGCAAGCTTCGATAAATGTATTGGCACAAATCGATTATGCAACGGGTCAGAGATTTAGTGCGCGTCGAAAACGTCTCGGCGACCGCGACACCGCCGACACGCCGGCGCCCGCACCGCTCGATACAGCCCCTAACAATGTTAACTCGAACGATACTCGATAATATCTCGACTAGTGTTTATGAAAAGTAATTCAGGGAAAGAATATGAATTGACTAATACTGGTCAAAATCGTTTCCGACCAGACGTTTTGACAACAGGAAACATCAGACAACAATTACAATTACTAAAACACTCTTACCTATACCCATTGTTTGTGCACAATAAATAAACATACAAGTTGTTTCTCTTATCTTTAAGTCATGCTTCAGACTTTCATTCTAGTATTTTAAATGCAAAAATTGGGTGGATGGAGTAGTGTTTGTTATTACGTTTCACCAAAATTGCTTAACGGATCTCGATGAAATGTAGAACATAGTAAGCAAGGTAATATAGGCTACTTAATTTTATTATTCCGCACTGACGCTGTCGTCAAACTTTACAAAATAACTCATTTAATAATCGAACTAAAATTACGTTAAATCGCATGTTGAAGTCGATGGTAGGGGTCGCGGTAGTTGTGATTCCGCCTGTTGCCAGATGTTTGCTTGTTTACTTTCCTTTGTACAACATCCATATGGTAACTGCCACTTACTGCAAGTGCTGCAGTTAGAATCTTTGTTGCTTTACAATAAATTAAATAAACTTACACATTTGATTTATACCGAGAATACTAAAGTTATCTTGATTTTGTTCGCAGATGTTTTTATTTCATTAGTTTTCATCACGTTATTCTTTGTATATCAAACGCAAACATCTGTAAAAAACAATTATCATAATTGCTGTTAACGTCTAATTTGAAGTTGCCATGTTTACGTTATTGGCGTTCACTTTCTACGTACATTATGTTTCTTAAAGATTTCTAAACAAAAACAAAACAATCTTTCTTTACGTAATAAAGTTGTAATTGATGTTTATTTCATACTTTACAATATTGGTATCTTATTGTATTTGATGTTATAACAAAATCGTACGTTTATTTTATGCTTTATCACGTTTTATTACAAATATCTGTTATCAGAACTCATGTACCTGTGTTAATAGATTTGCACTTAAACAAGTAAATCGATTACAAGTAAGAAATAAATAAAATTTTAAGAAACAAAATATTTTCAAGTTCATAAGTTTTGTGTATCAACATTTATTTGAATTTATAATTGTATTATTACACAATTAATTATTTATTTATAATAATTATAGTCATAGTTGTATAACAATAGCAATAGCAAAACGCAATAGTTGCGAGTTTGCCAAAATGGCGGATATTGGCGCCGGCAGCGGCGGTGGCGGCATGGCGGCGGACGCGAAGGGCGATTTATAATTAATCAAGTAACATTTGGCCGATTCGTATTGTCAACATTTAATTGTGATCAATTTAAAGATCATTATCAATCTTGACGTAATACAAACAACGGTTCGACGTTTTTATTATCAGTTTATGAAACAATTGAGGGAATGTCTTATCAATTAATTGATCGTGTAAAATTGTTAGTCTTTTATTTAATTCTTAGATACAGACAATTACAAGTCAATAATATAAATTTATAATTCAGTATATACAAAATCACATGAACCATTTTCAATTATACTATCGATTGGTAAGTTTAATAAAATTGAATCCTGAACACGTCCTACAGCAACTGGCTTCTTGTTCTTAGTTCACGGTATTTCATACTTAATAGAAAAAAGTTATTCCGATGAATCAATAGTTAGTAGAGAGTTATTAATAAAAATGTACGTTTATCATTCAATAAGTTATATCATGAGATGTAAAACGACACAAAAAAGTGTTTATTAGTATGTTTGATTTAATTCAACATCGCTATCATAAGTCAACGACATCTAGCGTTCCAAAGTTTTATTAAAATTTGAATATTGCATCATATATTTATTACTATTCATCGCTAGATGGCGCAAATACATGGTATCAACACCTGTTCTTTATAAATTCAAAAATTTGATTGGTTTACAACTTCAAATATATTACGTATATGTGATAAACAAAAATAGATGTCTTATGATACGAATTTCATATCTTATTATATCTACATCTGACATTTACGCCATTAAAATAATTACTACATGTGTTTTAGACAATGTACAATGTAAATTGATGTCATCACTTCTCGTGACAATAGTCGTTGATGCCGACTGATTAATATAACAGATGGTAACTTGTGGAGAAAAAGGACAGTTTATTGAGATCGTGTTGCTAGTGAGCACGTGAATATTCATAAAAATAGTTTAAATTAAATTAGGAACCATATTTTCAATTTCTTGCAATTGAATTGCATTTAGGAGACAAAGAGTAATTTACTTTCAAATAACAAAAAGTGAGTACATTACATATTTTTATTTAAAAGAGGTTATAACAACATAATATTTTTTACATAGACACCATAACTGAATCTTAACTTTTTGCTCCAGAAACAACTCTCATCATTTCCACAAGATGGCGCTGAAACGAGTTCTAATTGTGAATAAATCATTTCCTGAAGTTGGATTGGAGATATTAAAGAAGAAGTAAGTAATCGAAATTATTTAAAACGTAAATTAAGTATTAGATGGTCATTCAAATACTATAAAGCCGGGAAATATACACACTACAAGCATAACTTCCTAGTTCCGAGATAATTGTTATTAACACGAATAAATGTTAAATTGAACAATTATCCTGTTAAATGAGGTTATGCGTTTTCCCCACAAAGTAATATCCTTATTAAATTCTAGGTAAATAAGACCATTTAAACGAGTTCGCTGTTATGCACCTTTTTAATAAAAAAACGACTGTTTGAATCAAGGTACTTTTTGTGCTTCACGCAGTTTTTTTTTTCGTAAAATGTACCAGTAGTGGAACTATGCCTAATAATGATACCAAAATACAACTCAAACGAGGTAACACGTCTGTTAGACACTGACATCATAGATTCCGGAAGCAACCCCACAAGTGTGACAGGCAAGAGTTGCTGAAAACCGATTCCTATTGTTTTCTATCTAATAAGCCGTTATCATCTTACGATATTAATTTTTATTTTTTAGAGTAGAACCTATCGTTGTGCCGCATTTAGATTACGAACCTGAGAGCTTGCCGGCAATCAAGAATGCTGTACACGGTTGCGACGCTATTATTTGGAACACAAAACATCAGTTCACTGGGGAAATACTGGATCTTGCAGGTAGCTGAATAGACTGAACTAGCAATTTTTAATGGCTTTAAAATATACAAATAGGTTAATACCCCTTCCAGGTCCTAAATTAAAGGCTATTTCAACGATGTCTTCTGGCACTGACCATATTAACCTAAATGAAGTGTTCACACGCGGCCTGTTGCTAGGCAACACGCCACATGTCCTTGACAATTGCGTCGCAGATATCACTGTCGGTCTCCTGATAGCAGCTGCTAGGAGATTCAAAGAAGGGATTGATGAAATTATGAGGTATCGATTATAGAGTAGGATAGTTAGTGTTAAGAAAAACTACTATTGTAATTTTTATATAATATAAGGTGGCAAACGAGCAAGCGGCCACCTGAATCCACCGAAATGGAAAGCGACCGCTGTCCATAAGCATCCGCAATTACAGATGTGTTACCTACCCTTAATTGACGGAGGAGGAGATGCACATAAAGAGGATATTTCCCCTTCCTATGCGTCTCCTCCATCGTCAAATCCACTTTTCCTTTCCATCCTTTCCTCTTAAGAAAAGGGTTGAAAGAGAACGGGACTAAAATTAGGCCTCCGGCACCACACTCATCAGACGAAACGCGGAATTGCTTCCACTTCGCCTGTTTTCTGTGTGGTCGTGGTATTACTACGGGCGAGCCGGCCCATTCGTGCGAAGATGTTAAAGCGGGCTTTACCATTGTTAAATATTGTTGTCCTCTTGCGATGGATATTATGTCTCGTAGGTACTTATCTAATTGAAATATTCTTTCAATATAATCAGCGCGATCGGAGAATGCTAAAATAAAATTTCTATAATCAGAACGCAAACGATTTAAACAAGTGCCGTAAAATTCCACAACATTTATGTTTTTGTAAAATCTCATATACGACGTAGATAAGAATATCCAAACACGGTTATCATTATGTAATACAAAAGATAATATTACACTAGTAATTCGTACAAACTGATATACAATTACAATTTTATACAAACAGAACAAATTTCATTCCATTCGTTCTATTTCCAGCGGTGAATGGAAGTACGGCGTGCAATGGTCCCTCGGGCAGGATATCTCCGGGAGTACTGTCGGCGTCATCGGGCTTGGTGGTATCGGTCAAGCGGTGGTAAGGAGGCTGAAAGGCTTTGATGTAGCTCGATTTATTTACTCTGGACGGAGTGAAAAGCCTGAAGGTATCTGACTGCGATTCATTAATTTCTTCATTTATTCCTACTTTTGTTTATTCATTCTTACCGTTGCGCTTTCACAGCAAAGACTCTGGGTGTAGAGCGAGTGTCTTTGGAGCAGTTACTAAAAGAGAGCGACTTCGTGCTCCTCTCTTGTCCACTCACCGATGAAACTAAACATCTTATCAACGCAACTACGTTAAAGTTAATGAAGAGAAACGCCGTACTCGTTAATATCGGAAGAGGAGGTGTGTGTGGAATATTTTATAGTTCTTAACACGTTCAATGGTACGTTTTTATACGAAATGAACCCGTACGAGTGGTAACGATTCAATTTCTTCTCATGCAGTCTTTTTCTTTCGATTCTCCTAATTTTATAGAAATATTCTTTCTGCCCTTTCATTTGGACCCCATGTATCCAGGTCTGGTTGATCAAGAAGCTTTATACGACGCACTCAAGGAAGGTCAGATATTCTCCGCGGGACTCGACGTGGTAACTCCCGAGCCGCTGCCCAAAGACCACCCTCTTCTTACATTGCCCAATTGCTGTGAGTATATTTTGAAGGCTACATTTCTATTACTTTATGAGTCAAAGTAAAATATTGCTTTAATATTTACTGCTTATCGAATATGATAAAAAAAGATAGTATGTGTTGCTAGTTTTTTTTATCTTTATTAAAACTTAACCTTATGTATTTTCCTGGCAAATCGTATTGGAATGTGTTAAATATTGCAATGGAATCCAATTAGAATGTATAATTTGTTATTCAGTCATAGTACCACATCTGGGCAGTGCAACAATTGCAACAAGAAATGCAATGGCGACAATATCAGCTAATAACATTCTGCAAGCGTTGGAAGGACAGCCAATGATGTATCCAGTGTCATAACCTAAAAATATTAATCGATTTTTTTTTCTATCCATATTCAATTATTACTTGTATAACTGCTAGATAATTATAGTAAATTATTTAATTAAAAAGTATTTGGATTTTCATTTATTTTATACATTCAAATCAATTATTTTTCTTCGTGTATTTTAAACATGCTGTATAGCTTAGTTTCGTGATTGAGAAATTTCCTCTCATAAATTACTTAGTTACTTCTACCTATAACCCTTCACTTCGTGAATAGAAGGTTATGAATTAAGGTCATCGTTTTAAAGTCCAGTATTAAACTCCTTAGTTAATTTGGAAAATAACAATAATACTATCCATAACCTGTTGCTCCGACCCTACGGGAGTAGGATAAGGAGATGATGATGATGATGAATCCATAACTAATTTTCCTTAATTAAAAACAAAAGCCTGGTTTGCTTGTTATTAATCTAAAAACGCCGACATATTCGTATCAATTTTTTGAAACAAGAGGTACCAACTACTATTGAATCTTGTCATTTTTCGTTTTTTAAAAAATATCGTTTTCTTTTGATTATGTTCTCCCAATTAATCTTCTTGGTACTCCTATAAAAAAATGACCGTGTAATCGAATTCAGTATGTCCACTTGGTATGTCATTGCTTAAAAAGTTTATTTGAACTCGAAAAGGCGGGCATAAAAATATTCGAAAGGGCAGGGTAAATACACTAATGCCAGATATGAAACTTATCGAATAAAGTCCTCAGGAGACTGCTAAAAGTCTTTGTTTTTCTTTTTCAATTGCCTTCTCATCCTGGAGGTGAAAGTTTTAGCATCAAAATAAGCAATTTAGCAATTATAGATTCCAAGCAAAAAATTACAAAGGTAACTGCTGTGCTATGCCAAATAGCATTATATATTATTTATTATTCGTAAAAGCAATCGACTTTGAATCAAAAGTGAACGTTATACAAATATACCGAGTTATTTCTGACTACCGGTCAGTTCCAACCCTGGCCTTGTCCCGACCGGGCGCCGGCAGTCAATAACGCTGTACACCTGATAAACGTCCGATATCAAAACGATTCGTATTCAAAGATAAAACAATGGTTAAGAAAAATGTATCAAGATTATTATTTGTCACGTTTATGGCGTCAGTATTACAAACAGCATTGTCTGTGGAAGACGTACCAAACACAAATATGACGAAATCACTCAAAGTTCTTGTCTCATCGAACGACTACCTCGACAGTGGTATCAAAGTTTTAGAAGAACAGTAAGTATATTTTATTATTAGTTAATAGATAAAGTAACATACTAGAATTTCTAACAATATTGTTCCAGATACTTTTAATTCAAGGTTATGGACTTACCTTGTTAATTCATTAGAAAATACAACAAGAAAAGAAACACAAACAGAACTAGTAAAAAAATCATTTATTTAGCGTATCAATTTTTAATAATCTTTTCCCAAATTCTAACTAAAAGAATTGAAATTTACTTGAATTTAATTTTTCATTTCATTTGAAGTACATTGTTGACGTTATGCACAGACCAAAAAAACTTCAGTTAGAAGACAGATAAACCAACATTATGGTTGGTATTTATTATTTTTAATGAAAGTCGAATTAAAATATATTTTTTTAAGATAGTGTGATAACCGTAATTATCTTTACTCATTGTACTTATTATAATAATGCACCAAATATTCTAACGTATATTTTTATTTAGTTTTACAGTTGTGAAAAGTCGATACCAAAACTTCAGCGAAGAAGGCATTACCAAAAATAAAGATGAGTTACTCGACCTTATTCCGGGATGCTCTGCGCTTGTCTGGGTCTCTCACCATCCCATTACTAAAGAGCTACTGGATAGAGCAGGTAAATAATACGTTTGAACTGTCAACGTTAAAGGTTATCGCTCACTCCACCTGAAGGTTAACTAATAACCGCGCGGTATTCACGTGTTGACGACGAGTAAAAACACTTCAATACATATTATGATTACCGATTTCTTTTGTCACAATGCTAATTCACATATCCTTCGTGATTCTATAAAAATGTTCATACATCGTCGGTTAAAATTATTTAATTGTAATTAAATGTTTCATGCAAACGAACATGTGTTGACCTCAGGTCCTCAGCTAAAGGTAGTGAGCACAGCGTCTGCGGGTTACAACCACTGCAACGTACCGGAGCTGAAGAAGCGCGGCATCAAGTTAGCCAACACGCCTGGAGTGCTGAGCGCCGCGGTCGCAGAAGTCGCCATAGCCCTCATGTTGGGCGCCGCGAGACGCTTCACCGAAAACCTTGATCAGGTGCACAGGTAAGCATGCATATAGAGGGAATAAACATTCATTATGTTTCGAACGAATAGAAGTGTAGATAGTAAAAGTATCGATATCTTATGATTTATCAAATCCAAGTTGTCAAGTGATACTGCGTGCAAAATCTAGAAGCACTTTGCCCGATTAGTAACCGTCAAACAGATAACGGTCTTTGATAAAAATTTATCTCGATAACAGTATGAGTGCTGTAACTGCATTGCATCCATTCAAAATAAAATAAAACCGTAATAACTAAAACTATGAAAGATAATACATCCATTAATTAATAGATGAATAGATCGCATCTTTGGTTTTTTTTTTTTAAATTAATAAAAAAGATAATACTTTAACAATCATGAACAATGTAGTTGGAATGTTAAACAATAATTGTGAATCAATTACATCTGTATTGTAAAATGTTACATAATATTTAATCACGTCCGATAACCATGTGTAATGTGCAATCGTTAAATATACTTCACGCATTAAACTTTTAATTACGAGTTGTAATACCTCAATGTTTGAGCGACAGATTTACAAACTGATAATATAACGTTTAATTCAATATTCTGAAAAAACACAATCCTTTTTTAGTTCAAATAACTGACTTATCATCTCATCGGAATCATAACCAATGACGTATTTCGCATTGTTAACAAATACGCATTATAATTTTAAAATGAGATACGAATTTCTTTCAGTGGTGAATGGGAAATAGGTTTCGACAAAGTCCTCGGACAAGACATCCAAGGCAGCACAGTTGGTATCATCGGACTGGGCGGCATAGGGCAGGCCACGGTCAAGCGGCTACGCGGCTTTGACGTTGAAAAATTCCTCTACACAGGTCATCGCGAAAAACCTGAAGGTACTTTACAAGATCAAATACATACATGTAGTTATGAACCAGAAATAAATTCTAACCTAAAAGTATCACAAGATATAATGATATAATGGCCAATATAATAATGGCCAAGAGTATAAAATGGATAATAATCTTTAATTTAATTTGCTTCTAACAACAACTAGAATCGTTTACGACTTTTTCTTGGTGAAGCAAATAAGTCTCTATTTATTCCCACAGCCAAGGAGCTTGGCGCTGAGTTCGTAAACCTGGACACGTTGCTGGCCCATAGCGACTTCGTGGTTCTTGCCGTGCCCCTCACCGACGAGACCAAACACATGATCAATAAAACCACGCTTGCCAAGATGAAGAAGAACGCTATACTCATCAACGTCGGTCGCGGAGGTAGAAACCATTCTGTGCAAGCAATAATACAGTATTTGTTTAAAGACAATTTAACCACATTTTCTTTATCTTTAGATCTAGTGAACCAAGACGATCTGTACGATGCCCTGAAGAACAGGGACATCTACTCCGCCGGACTTGACGTCACCACGCCGGAGCCATTGCCCAAAGACCACAAGCTGTTGACGTTGCCTAACATCTGTGAGTGCATCTACCTTCCAAATGTTTTTTGATGAATACAGTCAAGATCATACGAATAAAGTAGACTTTTGCGCCATGTCTGCAGTTTTATAGCTCATTAGCTGTTGCTCGCGAATTCTCCCGCGTGAAATTAAAGAATAATAAAGAATTATAGTCATGTTACTCACAGATAAATTACCTTTCTAATAGTGAAAGAATTTTTTAAATCGGCCCAGTAGTTTTTACATGAATCGAATACATACAAAAGTACAAAAATACAAATCTTTCCACTTTATAATATATTAGTATAAATTAGAAAAGCAAGATCAAAAAAAAACTTAGATGAAGCCATTCGAATAGTGAGTAGCGTTTTTTACCTAATGAACGACAACCTTTTTGAGGCTACCATAGACATTGGCGTTTAAAAAGATTATCTGATATGTTTTTATGACACTCAAAAAATTGCTGTAATTGTAATTCCTTCTAAAAATGTATGTATTTAATCTCATTTTTTTTTTCAGTTATTCTTCCTCACATCGGTAGCGCGACTATCGGAACTCGCAACGCTATGGCTGTGCTTGCCGCCAAAAACGTTGTCAACGCCCTCAACGGAAAACCTCTAATTACACCTGTATTGGAATAATTCATTATAAAATAATAACACTATTTATAACATTTAAAATGTATCTAATATTCTGTAACTATTTAATAATTACGTTCAAATAAAGGCTAATTTGAATGTCGCGATGTGAATTTGTTTAACATGGCCATGGCCACAATCGTCGTGAAGACGATGAGATACTGCCGTGTAGTGATAACCTTTACTAACTTAACCTCTTAAACATTTTAAAATGTAACAGAAACATTAAATAATTACACTTTTACTTGATGTTTACTTTTATGCATCTGTATTCCTGTCAGTATGGCTTTCCTGTTGTTAAGTCAAAAATGATATTATCTGTATAATTTATTCATAAACTTTTCAGCACTTTTCAGTATTGAATGGAACAAACACACTTATAATCTAATTACCATGAAAATAACCACTTCAGGTATATCAATGGTGAAATAATAACAAATTGATAAAAGCACTTTTATTAGGTAATACATGATATTTACAGATTAAAAAAAGTAAGTGGCATCAGAGAGAGAGACAGATTAATCTTATATCTACATAGACAAAACATTTTATGTATTTTGAATCTATAAGCTGGTATTGCATGGTTTTCTCAGAAATAGATGTGACAATTTGGACTAAATTTTAAATAATAAATCATGGCATGTGCCAGTTCCATTTTACTAAGATGCCCTACCCTTACCCTTTACAGTAAATAATTTATACAATATAAGGACATCTCATCGATTTCAAAATTACACTTCTTTTCCTCAATTTTAACTTAGTAATACTCGGAGTACATACATTTATATAATTGCCACAAAATTTTAGTTATACATATGATACAATAAAAAATAAATGTAATTTCTATAATATTTAACACAGTTATATGTTCATATTACAATATGGGAACATCTGTATATGCTATGGAGCATCTGCAACCACAGCTGCAAGATCTTTCAAAAAAGGTTCTATTTGAGTTTCCAATGACAGTATGTGGCCAGTGTTGCAGTTATCACTTCCGATGAACGTAATGACTAGTGGTAACTTATTCATTTGAATTACCTGCAAACATATGTTAATGTATAAAATCATCTCAGTGTGCAACAAATAACAAAAGGTAGTTAATTAACTGTAATTAAATGTCTATACATACCTGATAACTAGAGTACATGGAAATAATAGTCTTATTTCTCCCTAAACCAAGTTTACTTGCTTGGTCTGTAGCCATACCAAAGGTTGATATAAAATTAGGTCTTAAAGCTAAAGGAGGAGCCCTTTCTGTCACCGCACGTACAACGGGAACACCATCCCGATCAGTTATCAAAATACAATGTAGACCATTCACTCTGAAAACAAAAATAGTACGTTTCTCCAACTTTTTTTTTTACAAAAGATCTAGTAATTTTATAACACTTACTTCTCTAATAAATGGTTCAAATACTTCCTGAGATCGTCAACCATCTTTGTAAACAAAAATGTTTGTTTGTTGTTTAAGATATTCTGGAAAGAAATTTAAAAGCAAATCAACAATACCACAATAACATTAAAATAATGACACAAATGACATTGACTTTTTATTTTTTATATTGACAGAAATGAATATGAAAAGGAACGTAACGTAAGGTATGGCTCAGTCAGTGTTAAAATATTTTGTATGCTTTTTTAAGGTACATCGTGATTCAATGAGATGGATTTACATCAGCTGTATTTGAATTGATGCTGAACCTCACCTGTAGTTAATTTAAGGTCATATTTTCTATCTTGAACACAATTTTCAATGTTTTATAACATAGACAATTTAGTTCTATGATTAATATAGCAACATTACAACTCTTGAGAACAAAATAATTTGTTAATGGTCAAAATGGAAGAATAGAATTGACAAGTATGCGATTTTCGTAATTTATTTTTGGATACGTAAATGTTTAAGGCCCTTTGTAGTGAAAAAGTGTGTTCCTTTATGGGACGCATAAGGAAACATAACATATGTAAAGAATGGTTTTAAAAGTCTCTTAAAGTGTATTACAACTGATTGAAAAATAGTTTCGAATGATGATAACAAAAGATATAAAAACTCATTCTTGTCTCGTTATGTGTTATTTTTCGATACATGTGTGCAGTTAAGATTAACAAGTCATGAACGTTTGCAAAGAGATTAACTAGAGTATGTATACGTAACTACGAGAAAGTGATTTTAAGGACTGTGACGTCACAAGCGAAAGACAATAAATTACACTGCATGTACAATGTTTTTTGGTTTTTGCCGGTGATCAGAAGTGTATCGGGAGCCGTGGTGAGGGCAGAGTTCGCGGCGGAGTGGTCGGCCCCCGCGAGGATGGGCGGCGATGTCTGCCCCCTCCGGAAACGCTGCGAGCCCCTCACCGTGTGCATGTACTAATATATCGCTTATGCAATTGTTCCATGAACTAAAGCAAAAGTTTCCTGGTGTCCCTGATCATGTGGTATCTAGTACTATCGAACTGTATTGCCATGACAAGCAAGCCTGTGAGACACATCTCCATCGGGAAGTCAAGGCCTCCCTAACTCACGCTTATCATGCGTCCTCGTCGGCCGCCGCCCGACAGCTCAACGAGCTTAAAGTTAACGTGCCTGTGAAGTGTCGCAACCAGCCTATAGTTAAACATGAGGTTGTGAGAACATCAGCCATCAAATCTGTTACTTGCCAAGGCCCACAAAAAGCTATCATAAGCTGTAATTCAACAGCTGAAGAAAATGATAAGAAGGTAAACACTGATGCTAATCAAAATGTTGTTGAAGATCACATTGATAATGAAACAAATAAATGTCCTTCTCCTATCACAATTATAAATATTGATAATTGTTATGCTAAATATAGTGCTGAGTCACCAAGTGATCCTGAACTCACCAATGATAATAAAAACGAAGTAAACAGAAATCACGGAAAAGAAGAGACAAGCATTGAAATAAAATCTGATGCAACACAGCCTGAAAGCACTAATTACAAAATTTTAAAAAGCAACAAAATCAAGTGCAATTTAAATGAAAGATTAGAGAAAGGAAAGGAAAAGAAGACTATCAAAAAGGAACCACAAACTGTTAAACCAGCGGAAGAGAAGCCCAAACGACCCAACACACTTGATTTTATAAAACCCAATCCAGATATTGCATTTAAAGAAACTTTAAAACAAGAAAATCCAGAGCCATGTAGATCAGTATCGCCCGCTGTTTCAACACAAAAGGATAATCAAAGCAAAGAGAAACCTAACACATACAGACGGGAATGTGGTTATCCGTTAAATTTATCTGTAAATGTTAATTGTCATATGGACTTGAGTCGTTCGTACGTTGATCCTTGGATGGAAGATTACGAAAGTCCAAGAGCTATTACATCAGTTAATTTAACAGTTTGTACACCAACTTCGAACATGGCTAGTCCAGTTAGAGAGACAAGAGATGACGACGGAGGTTTCGAAGGGCATGTAACAGTGACGGTAAGCCCGAGCACCGCAAGGCCACCGAGACGTCGTGCTCCACCGCCCCCACCTCCTACGCAGCCTCCTCCGACTAGACTGGAGTCTCCGAGACCTTCAAGGACTGCCCCGGAACCACCAACAGGGTCAAATCATGGGACTATTGGTATGTATAATTATTATCATACTTTAATTTAATATTTAGTTGTAATAATACAGATAGTAAACAAAATCTTGATGGACACATAAGCTACTAATTTTTTTTTTATTTCAACATATTTGCTGGCTACTATTATTATCATCTAATTTCTTTATATATGATGCAATAAACTTCTCTTGTGTAATATAAAAAAATAATCTAATATGGAAATTCCATTGTACACAATCAATTTGAGTTTGTTAGTTGTTGTTATGACTTATCTCTATAAAGTTATGTATGTACAACACATGTTACTAATATTGTAAATGTGAAAGTTTAGAAGGATGGATAGATGGATGTTCGTTAGGTATCTTTGAAATGGCTCAATGGATATTGTTAAAGGTATAGATGTAGAGGATAGTCTGGAAGAACCCATAGTCTACTATTTTTTTTTAATTCTGCGGGTGATAGCTAGTTTTTAATAAGTTATCAAAAAATTTCCAGATCGTTCACTAATAGAGAGACAAAAAGAGCGCCTGTCAAGGCTTGCTACAGCATTAGCTCAGGAGAAGAGCAGAGTGGCGCAGCTGAGCCGAGAGACGCAGATATTGGCGGCACCTTCGCCCTCCCCCACTGCCGCACAGAGGCTTAAAAACTATGTTGAACGACTACGCGATGAATGTAACACATTGTCAAAGAGATTAGAAATGGCTAACAATGGTAAGTTATTGTTTGTTTTTTAAATACCAATTTTAATACATTCTTTTAAAATTAAATATACAAATTGTGATAACATATATTTGTATTTGCTATTTTTTTAATTTCACCCGGGCTAAGTCTCAAGCAACAGCTGCTTTAATACTATTAAGCAATGATCTAACTGGGACAAGTTGTATTACTTTCTTTACTTAATAAGTAATTTAATAACAACCTAATTAATGTGCCAGAAATTTAGATTTTTAAACATGTTATTTCATTCCAACAAAAATAAAAAATTACAGAATATTTTGAACATATTTCTTGTTACCGATTATTATTAATTAATAAAGCATTTTCCAATCCTCCATTGAATATTGTTTCAGAGTTTGATTCTTTTACCATCAATTTTTATATTTAAATGAATATGATGAACAGTGGTTCATTTCTGTTAAACATTACCATAATATGGTTAAAGTTTTTATATATAGTGTTGATTAGCATTGGATATGTTCTCTAATTATCCAAATTTATGTTAATGGTCTTAAATTAACATTACAATAGTCTCAGTAAATGAAAACATACCATAGTTATGTAAATTGTAAAACAAACGAAAAAAAATCAGATTAATGTAATTCATGGAAAGGAATAGTTTGTGGCTATAGAATAGTTCGTTCAGAGATAAAATAATTTGTTGTTTAATAAATTTAAATCTGTGTTCTTAGCACACTAGCTGTTCCCATACAGCTTCATCCGAATTTTTTAATTTATTTACTTCTTAAATTAAATAGGATGAAAATATGTAGCCTATAATGTGGCATAAGTGTAAGGCTTTATATTAAAATAAGAGTTATTTAAAAATATGCTGTGATTGCTAACATCCTACATAACAAAGAATGTTTTTGCTTTATTATGTTAGTGTAGATACATAGATATAGATTACTTTGTAAATATTCCAGAGCCAGAAGATTCGGATAGCTTCTATAGGAACATCTACACTGGTCAGCGGCCGAGCGCGATGTGGCAGTGCCACATGTGTACCTTCCGCAACCACGAGCTGCTCACCAAGTGCGAGGAGTGCGAGATGCCGCGCATACTCGTAGGTACGTCCCCCTCCAGGAACCACGACTCGGGCTTCGGCTCCTTCCGGGACAGGAACCGTAGGGGCATCCCGCAGACCTCGCACCTCCAGGTCGAGGATATGCCCCATGTTAGAGAGTCGACGTTCCCCAGTGTGACACAAGCCTTACGATCACAGAGTCTGTCACACGCTCCCTAAAGTTCACCAATGTTCCTTCCTGCCTTAAAAAAGTGCCTATTATGAGATAAAAGTGCCTATAACGATGCCTAGTCAGTGCTCAGGTATTTTTGGTGTTATTTGAATACTAGAAGATAACAGGATTCTGTGTTGTGGTGTTTGAACGTTTTAACCCCAGCATGTGATGGCATGCCAGTATCGGACGATTTTGCCGATGAACATTGTGGTTTTTGCCCTTGAGATTGTTCCTGTTTTTGTTATTGACATTTCAGAATTGTTTGCATGTGTGTTCGTATAATTGACTGATTTTAACCATTTAGGCTAAGCTTATGTGTAAATTTGATTCTGTCCACATTTGAAGTTTTATTAGTAGTTACGAATTTACGAAGGCTCTAGGGTATTTTGATTATTAAATTTATTTAAATTTAAATTTTCTATGGTTATTAGAATTAAGTTGATTAATGATGAAATAAGAGATTTATATTTTTACAAAGTTAGTACTTTATAATTTTAATGGAAATTACTAGTATGTTATTAGATAAGTTACGTTTATTTATTGTTCTTAGTATCAAGGTGAATTACATTTGAACATCACAATTGACTGGTCAAACAAGAGGCATTATAAGATCTCAATATAAGACTACAACGCCTTGCCAAAAATCTGTTTAAAGTATTTAACATGAAAAATTATGGATTTTTTATCTTTGCTCAAAGATTTTCCTATTGCTCACTATACACGCCTAAAACTATCTCACTGTTATATTTCTGACGCACAATGATTTTGCCAATAAAAATAACGTTACTCGATTTTAGAAACAAATTGTATAGACCAACTGAGTGGTCGAACATTTCCGGTTTTGTTAATGGTTTAAAATTTTAAAATGTGATTGGCGTAATCATATCTTTTAATTTTTATTCACATTATCATATTGTTAAAATAATATTTATATATTTTTAGTGTAATGTAGTATAAAAATATTATGAAATGGTACAAAACGTCAATGTGCCTTAATAAATTCTAAAATTCAATTGTGTGAGACCTAAAAATACAATAGATTCTTATTGCTGATAGCTGTTCCCGTGCGACTACATCCGGATAAAATTTTGAAAATTTTATTTTATTGTTATTTGTCAAATTCTCAATTGGAAATGTCAAAATGACATGACAAACCTTGGCAATCTTACTTCCTTGATGTTGGCAGCAACTTATGGTCTCTTTCCCACATTAGGGTTTTTATCCAAAATATTTACCCCTAAGTTTAATGGCGTAAAAATATATAGCCTAAAGCGTAACGTAAGTGTAGGGCTTATTATTAAAAAAAGAATTATTTAAAAATATGCTGTGATTGCTGACATCTTAGGCAACAAAAAAGTGTGAGTTTACGCTTTATTATAATAGTAAGTATAGAAGGACTCTTAAAAAATGATGTCCCATTCCTTTTTGAGTAAAGTGAGGCAACAATAGATGTTTTTACGTCATCGACAGTGGAAACGCACGGTTATCAGGAAAAAAATTACTGAATAACTAAAGAATTCTGAATTTGACATATCGTTTTTTTAGGAATTACGGTGGATTAGATTAAATTTATCAACACTTTAGCATCACAATGTAGGGTTTATCATTCAGTTAGGCGTTTTTAGATGTGCTTTTAAGTAGGAGAATTTGATATTTTAAAATTTTCACTTTATACACTAGTTCTGGTTAAAATGGGTATTGACAGTTTTTTGTTGTCAAAACCCTCTTATTATATTGCATAATTGTTACTAGTAATATAGTCAGCATTAATCACATTGAATTACGATCAACGCAGTGACTGTAGTGGTTTAAAAGTATAAAAAAAAATCAAAAACTGTTAAACTTGAAGCTAACATACATCCATTTTATTCTGTTTGAAAAAATAGGTTTTGTACATGTTTTTTGACAATACAAACCAACTGTAAAGCGATAAATTTACAAAAATGCAGCAAACATCACATATAGTTTTGGTTATTTGATCTTTACAGGCATTCTTGTACACTTTGTATTTTAAATGTATTTTGTAAATAAGAGCAATGTGATAGTTTAAATTTATGTATATCAGGTAATAAAATGTTGGTCAATAAAATTATGATTTTTTTTAACCTTGAATAATACATAAGCTTGGTGTGACTGGTTTGTAAAAGGTAAGTTTTTTTAATTAATATTTCTAACATGATGTTGTTCTTGGAATGTTGTGAAGTTTACTTTCATATATTTTTTTAAATGCTGTATATTTGCTAAGATTTTTATTTTATTTTATACAGTTCGAGCTCCTGATGGAATAACAGTTCGTCTTATGCCAGGTCGGCGAAGTAAGTATGTCGACATAGATTATACATAACAGACAGGAAATTAAAAAAAAAATGTTATGCAATTGGCACATTTCAATGAGTTTTTTCATTTTCAGAAATAGTGCGATCGTGGGTTTTATGAGACGCGATGGAAATCATTATTTATAAGTAAAACTGACTATCTTAAGTGCAGTAGGTAATGTTATTTAATCTGTGATATTCGCATTTGGTTGTTTAAAGATAAAAGTCTGATTTGATGTTGAAAAAATATTTTGATTTAACACATTCCATGCGGGGTGAAGTGTGGACTGTTTAATTATAGTGAGAATTTATGAGAATGTATAGATAAATGGGCATTTGTGTTAAAATGGCATTATTATCTATAACCGGTGTGGTTTTTAGAGTAATTGCAATGAATCAGTCCGCGCTATCCTGTAGTAAAAGATATAAAAGATAAATTTTTACCTTTTTTCCCTTTTTCTTTCCTATACTCATTGAGTGCTCTGTTACCAAATGCGAATAACTCCCTGTTATTTACATTTTAACACTGCTGCACTTAAGGTGGATAGGAAATAATTTAAATTTAATTCAAATATATGTTTTGTAGCGAATATTTCTTTTTAATAAGTATCAAAGAAATTATGTAATTCAGGAAGTACGTTATAATTGTCCGATGATATAATGAAACAGGGTTTATAAAAAAAATATTAATATCGAAAATAATAAATAACTAGTCAAAAAATGTTATAGATATTTGGTATTAAATACAAGAAAAATAGAAGGATATTTCAAAACAAACTTTAAATGCAAACTTTTCTTTTTAACTGTTTTAATTTGGATTTTTCTTATACAGGACATTTAAACAGTCATTATTTACTAAGACTATTTTATTAAAAAAAAAGTTTAATGCAGTTTTCAAATATGGTAACATAATTGTTTAATTTTCTGTAAAAGCATAACCAAATCAGAATATGACATTTGTACTATAAAAATATATAAATAAAAAACCAGTAATCCTAAATAAATAATTGACTGTAGATATCGGTTATATTTTTCGGATATCTGCTAACAGCAATCAATATAATAAACAATAGTTTTATAAACATTTAAAAATACTATTGCCAATATTGATGTGCAGTATACAATACCATAATCTCCTTTCATACTTGTTTATACCCTCATGATACGAATTAAAGTAATTTAAATGCAGAAAATTCAATATTTCAGATATTTCCTGCTAACTATAAATTGACTACTAAAGCAGTACACACTAAGATTTCACTATGATTGTGTTTTAAAGTGGACTAGCAACACCGAATTTACAATTATTAAAGCAGTTTTTCTAACTGAGATATATGTATATCCATAAATATACCGTAATATATTTTTAACCAATGTTATATTGATGCCACTAGAATTATTGTTTGTCTGTCAAAGCTGAATCCTTTCTTGCCACAGATTATTGTACAACTTTAAATAACTCGTTTTTAAAAGAAATAACAAACAATTCAATTTTAGTACTTCAATATTTATGATTAATCTTTTTTATAATGGAGTCAAGAAATAATTCAGCAATTTTCTGTATTCATTGAGAATTTTCAATTACAGAAAATAAGCCCATTTTTTTAATAGTTGTAATTTCAACTTTTTATTTGGGGACAAATCTTATCTAAATCCACAGTCAGTCTAAATCTACAGTCCGACCTGCTTAATGAGGATTCTATAAGTGAGAAAAATATTGGTTGGATTCTCGGTTAGTTCCATTGTATTTGAAATTAGATCCACTTCCTATTGACAGATTAATCTGTTAATTGGAACACACTTGTAATTCTGATAATATTGTATATGAAAATAAAACTGATATTAAATATATTTTTGAACAAATTGTAAGTTACAAATACTTTCGTTAATTACTCTGAGGTCCACATCAGTTGTGTGAACAGCCATGCTTATTGGAAAAAAATGGTACAGTTGTTTTCAAATATTTTGGGGGCTAAAGGTTATTGAGATGCTACGTATCGTATACGTACGTACGTAGAAGCGAGCCTATCATTTCCTTAAAGGCCGGCAAAGCATCGGTAGTTCCTCTGGTGATAACACCAACGACGCCTGTAACTGTAACGACGTCAACGACGCCCCTGAACCTCGATGTTTAGGGGCGACGCTGACCACCTCGGTGTTCTCGCCGCTCGTTTGCCCCCTTTAATAAAAAAAAATCAAAAATCGCCCTCTCGCATCCCGTTTCACTTAAAATTGTATTCTCCGCGATTCGCGTAAACTTAGAGCCACCAAGATATATGAAAATTACTGTATAATTTTAAAACTTGCAACATACACTGTGATTTCTAGTCGATGCTATGAATTTCTGATTTTATATGTAATAAGAAATAAGCATTTCTCTTTGTGTAAACAATTCATGCTCACTGTATATATGAGTAGGTACTTATGTAAGGTTTTATATATCTAATAAAAAAAGGCAACATCTGTGCAAGTATAATTTGAGTTCAAGTACAGATATGGTTAATATTAAGAGGAATGAGAAATCTATATTTATTCTTCTATACTTATTATTGTACACATTTTTTTGTTATATAGGATGTCAACAATCTCGATATATTTTTGAGTAATTCTTTTTATTATAAAAACATTACACTTACGACTTGCTATAGGATATATATTTTCAGGCTGTTTTAGTGAACAAATTGGAAAAATTGCGAGAGAATGGAACGAATAAAACAAGCCAATAGCAGCAAAGAATCAAAATTGCCATGGTAATAGAAACTATACATCGATAACAAATGTTTATTGTCATTTAAACATTTGGATTTTGATATTTGCAGAGCTTTACCGAAGCCTAACAATGTATTGATTTATATTGTTTTTAGATTTTAAATTGATGATACAAACATGTCTACATATGGTCTGTGATTATAGCTTTTTATTGGTAAAATTGTTGTAGAATCATATTTCACCATATTAAATAATCAAAAATTATAATGCTGCAAAGTAGAATTTTACAGATAGTGTTGCCACATTCAGGTACATAACTGGCCATTATAGAATATATAAAAAAATAGTTCTGCAAAAGTTTGGTAAAACAGAAAATGAAATGAAACCAATTTTATTACATATCAAATATTGCTTGCGCAGATGTATGTAAGAATATATATTGTTAAAAAACATTTAGTGCTTTTTAGACCTTCATTATATATACATATCTATTCAATCATTTGTACTTAATCAGCACATGTATCAAAATAAACTTGTTATTGAAATTTGTTTAATTTATTTGTTTTAATCATTCCTATATCATTAAATTATATAAAAACTATCCTTGGAGAATAATAAGGTCTGTTTTTCCATTAAAAGACATGAAAAGTTATTTGGATATAACTGATTTTTGTAAAATATCAAAATCAAGTGTAAAAAATCTTTGTACAATTTTAATAAAAAAATTACTATTGTACATGTGTATTTAGTATTTACATTTAACATTATAAAGTTATATCGCAGTGCCTCTTTCCAAATTCTGTTTAATTTCTGATGTATGCTCTCCGTAGAATCTCTCCAACTTCTTGTTGAATTTAGCATTTCTTTCATTAATGTAATCAATATCTGCATCATCATTATGAATACGACGTCGGGAGTATTTCGCGCGTTTCGCAATTTGGCCTTCTAAATCATTCACCATTTTGTCTATAGCATCCTTTCGATCTTCATGCATACCATGTATTATTACGTTAGGTCCACCGTAAAATGCATCGCCGTATTTTTGTTTCTGTTTTTCGTATTGCTCCATATCCGCTGCAGGCATATTCTTTACAAGTCGATTGTATTGTCTTACTGTTGCTTGCTCATATGTCGAAAAACCTTGATCAGGGTTCTTTTTCTTCTTCTTACGTTCCAGTCTTTCTGCCTCTGTCGCTGATATGTTTAATAACTTCACTCTGTCGTACTCTTTCCCTTCTTTAGCCGCTTCTTCACGTTTCTTCTGATCCTCTAATAACCATTCTGCTTGTCTACGTTTCGCTTCGTAATTTGGAGGAAGTTTATTTCTAGCCTCTTCCGCAACAACTTCTTGATGATTATGACTTCTTGCTTCGTTTCTAGCTGAGTGAAGAGAACGAAGTCTCTTCATACGTTCGGCTTGCTTTTCAGAAAATGACATTTCTTTATTCGCGGTCGACGATGTTCCTGATACTTCTACTGAAGCCATTTGTAATTTGTAATATTATGTTTATTTAAGTACATAAAACAAATAACTTTTTACAAAATATTTCTGTTTTTCCTTCAATTACTCGACAAATGTCAATGTCAAACTTCCTCACAGAGTAATTAATGTCAGAGTGACCGAAAAAACTTTATCAAATAGTTTCCGTGTTGGCCAAATGAATGTACATAAAATCTATTGTTTTGTTTGATGTAATAACTAGATTTGATCTGGTACAGCGATAATTTCAAAAAAACAAATGTTAAATGGTACAGGATTAATGTTTGAGAATATTTTTTGATACCAAATGGCGAGTCTTTATGTCCATTCTGTGACTAGTGAAGTGTCACACGTCACATGTCAATATTTTGTAATGTTGGTAGAACGGTTGTGGTGTTGTTATGATGGTACAGCTAATCTTGTGTTGCAAGTATTAATTTTTTAACGTAAATGTCAAATCAAAACTTTATTTTCATATACTCTGTGTCATGGCCAGTCAGTCGGTGTTTTGATACAGTGACGGTTGTGTGTTATTGTGTGATCGAATTATAATATTTTCGAGTGTTTTTTTTGAAGTTCACGATGTCGGATGAAATCGCCGAAAATGGAACAGCGAACGGAGACGTGCCGGAGATCGAGCTGATCATAAAGGTAATATTTACTTTACACGTGTTGGTACGCGAGACCGAGATCTGCAATACTCAGTAACACGGCACGCGCAATAATCGGTCTTAAAGATTTTGAGGTGTTGGCATATAACGCGGCTTCTCAATGTTTGAAAGTATGAAAGATAATATTTTCGTGATATGAAGATAACTTATCGTTTTCAGGTATCAATATTTAGAACTTGAACATGAAAATGTTCACGATTCCTCCGCATGAAAATATGTTTTATGCGGTTATTTTATACAAGGCATATGGCACATTTGTCTTGATTGTTTAAAATTAAGCAATCTTAACTGCATTTTTTAAGATACGGTTCATGTAAATATTTTAAAAATGTAAACGAAATTTGGGTCGTGACTACATTAAAAATCGGCAAGATTGTTCGTCATGTTGCAAGACATTTATTGCTTAAGCACAATGCAATGGTGTCTTCGATAGAAAGGTCATAGCTAAGACTAGAACTAACAATTAACGTTTTCGAAAGATGGATTTTTAGCAAAAAAATATTTAAATTTTTAACATGATTATTGCAAAAAGGAGACCATTTTTATTATTTGTAAAACAGAAAAGTAACTTTTAACTTTTTTGGATAATTAAATCAAAATCCAAGGTCATAATAAATTTCAATCCTAAATGTAGCTTCAAATTAATGTCACTTCAAAAATGTTTTTGGTAATCCCAATAGAAGTTCTAATTTTGGCTGATTCTAATTATTTCTTATTATTGTCATAAATAAAAATAAACTTGCACACCTCTGTTGTACAAAATGCTATACAATCTTTGGAGTGTTGCCAACATATCTTATTTGCAACACAGCATTTCAGTTTCGCAGATTAAATACTAAAAGCATCTTTATACACCTTTACTCAATGCTAGATTTTCCTGTTTATAAGTTATTCTTGTTTTTCAACCAAATGATTCATGGCCTTAAAATATAGTTTTTTGAGTACTAGAAAGGTCAATATTTTTTTATAAATTATCTTAAAGTATTTTTACTAAAAAGACATTTGTAATATCAATTTAATGAAGACAGGCATAGATTGGCTCCTAAAGCAATGAATCATTTGTGAAAGTGATTAGACAAGTATTTCAGCTCAATTTTAGTTTTTTATCCACTTTCTAACTCTAAACCAGGGATGACAAACCTGAATGTATCTGCCATTAGTCTAAAGTCATAGGTGCAATAGAATAATTTTAACTCTGCGAATAATGAGAACATCCAAGTTTGATTCTAATATAAGACTTAACAGCAATTTTATACTGCATATTATATCTTAACTAAAATATTGTATAAGATGCCATTAGTTTACCTTCCCTGTTCGCTGTTAGGTATATTTTAATGCAGAAGTTAATGACAACTGGATAAACAATACTATAATAATATGTATAATCACTGTAAACCAGTGTGTCATGAATTAACACAACTTTCCTTTTACTAGGTCTATTACTCATGATAATGTTCTATTGTTTTGTACATATATCATTAAAAATTTACATTCATAAGACTGAAAAATATCTGTTTGTATAGTTTATTACAAAACTACAATTATGTAAAATTTGTACTTGAAAACATAGATAATTATTTAATTTGTAATAACAAAATTATTTTTACTCTGCGATAGTTAAATAATAAAATTTAATGTCTCAAGTTATAAGAAAAAACGTAAACATTTCGTGTTTAAAGAACGTAAATAATATTAATTAATTTTAGATAATCAACACTGCAACATCCAAGATGTATTGTAAGAACCTAATTAGTAATAACTAAATCTAGACTTGTTATGCTATGTGAAGCTAATTGAAATGTAAACAGACTGTGTTAGATGTGGTTATTAGAATGATTATTGTAGATTATATTATTTAACTCTAATAACTTTTACGTCATAATTCACCGATTTTTCCGCGTTTTTTGTGCGTAATTTTTCCGAAGTTTCTTTTTAAATCATATGACGTTAGTTGTCTCATTAGTCTAGTTTTTATCTTAGAAAAGTGCAAGCCCTATAACTTGTTGAGATTGATTGTGCAATGAAACGTGTCCTATAGCGAGCATTCCGCGGGAGAGAGCGCATGCGCGCCTTTGAAACAGAAACCTGCGCGAGCGGTGGCGAAAGTGACATCGGACAAGCCACTGCACACTTAACCCCCAGCCCCCAGTCTCCAGTTCCCAGTCTCCAAGTCCCCAGTCCCACTCACCACATTGATAAGAGCTTATTGACAGGTCTAAATCACCACAGCCTTGTCTTGTCTCATTTCATATGATTATAATAGTGCTGTTATGTTTCCCCAGGGGCCAAAAAGTTTGTCGCACTATACAGATCCGAATACGATCTATTGTAATTGTAATAGAACTTCTTAATTTTTGTCGCGAAATATTTAATGACAACCGTAAGTATAAAACTATACATTGGACATGTAAGCCTTTTTATCCCTGGTATGTTAATCTAAAAACATTCTCGCCTCAACAATGTCGTGTTTATTTGCTATAGTATGATTTGATGCAATTTTCCAATAATTAATTGACCGTACTATAGAGATAATGCAAGATTTGTGATCAAACGTTTGTGCTTTCTTTTTCAATGAAAGCGAGCAGATAAAAAGTATGCAGGGTTCGAATTAAACTTATGGTAACTTTATGAAATAGAGATTTTTTAAGGCGTTGTTTGATAAAATTCTGCATTGCAGTTCATAACTCCGGAGTTATTTTTGAACGAAGTTAAGACATCACTATTAACTAATATGTCGTTACAGAACACATATATTAATAGTACGATGTCTTAATGTCTTCGACTGACCGCTTAATAATGTTATAATTACTAAGATATACAATTATGTTTTTAACGTTTCTGCAACTCCCATTTTTGCAATTAAAGAAGTAATTTGAAATACCGATATAAATGGTTCGTATTATCGTGTAACGTGACTTCGCTGTTTTTATTATTGTTAAATGAATAAAATTATTGAAATTTATTATTTTAACATAATAGACAAGATAATTTCAGTATCTAGAATAGTAAAATTGTTTGTTTCTACGGCAATTACTATTGCCTTCTTTATGACGGAAACAAAAATAGAAATCTATACTTCTATACTAATATAATAAAGCGTGAACACACACTAATTCGTGGCGTTGGATGTCAGCATAGCATGTTTTTGAATAATTATATCTTTAGTAAAAAGCCCTACTTAGCCACATTTTAGGCTATATGTTTTCACGCTATTAAACTAAGGGGGTAAAATAAATTGGAATAAAACCTGATGTGGGAAAGGGACCATAAACTACAAGCTGCCAACATTATAGGAAGCATAGTTATTATGGTAAAGGTGATTTTGACATTTGCAATTGAGAATTTGACAAATGTAAACAATAAAATAAAGTTTTTATTTCATGCGGATGAAGCCGCACGGAAACAGCTAGATTTTATTAGAATAAAATAAAATACCTAAAGTAATGTTATAAACTTAATAAATGTGACAGTTTCAAAGTAAATTGTGTTTTTTATCTTTATTCTCGGCTAGGTTTTAATGATATTCTAGGTTCATTGTCTCAGATAACCTATTGTTTACCTCCGTCTGCTCCATTCTGTATTAAATTCTATTGTTGTTTTTAATCGAAAATATATTATCTATCAATACTTATGACGTCATAAGTTCCAGCCTATTAATTACCAGCTTTTGCCTACTTACACTTAAATCAAGTGAAAATCAAGTTACATGGTTCGGAAACGCATTACAATAATTTATCGAACCAAAAACAGAACGAATGGTAGCTGGGAAACTGGCCATAATATAGTCGAGGCTACCTATTAATTTATTTCTATCAAGTTCAACACTTACAGTAAATGGTATACAATGTTATTATCAAAACAATCAAGATATTGATGATAGTAAAAAGTATTAATAGGTATATATTAGCGACAACATTAAATATGTGAAGTGTACATATTTTTACATTTACTCATACTTTTAATGTTGATTCTTTTAAACCCCTTATATGACTTGTGATTTAAATATTTCGTCATTCTAGTCCCTCCCTTTATGATATCTAACTGTTCATATACATTCTAATATTATCTACTCAATTGAATTTGAATTCGAAAAACTTCCTGGTATGTTGGAATATGGCGTGTAGAAATGAAAAAAAGTTGGTGTAATCGATTTGATTTCGAAACATCGAGACGCGTGCAACTCGTCCCAAATCAGACTCGATTCGAATCAAGATGGCCGTGAACGTTTGTATCGGAGTCACGAATGAGAGGATTTGCCTCTAACCTCTCACTTTTGTTGTAAAATAGAAAAACATATTTAGCTAGCTTTTGCCCGCGACTCCATCCGCGTTGAATTAAATAATAAAACAAAACGAGTAGTCTGTGTCCTTACAGACTATCCTCTACATCTATGCCAATTTTTAATTCGATCAGCCGTTTAGGCTACAAACTCGAACAAACCTATCTAAACTTTCGCATTTATAATATTAGTAAGATTACGAAGATGATTGACTCAAAACTTTGTTTCTATCTTACATAATATATTGATTACATATTTATTACATATATTTTGTTAATTAATTGCTATTATGAAAAGTGTTCATTTAACTGTTTCAAAAACGTACGAATAGTGCAATATGTTCTTGAAACTATGTATAATCTATGTCAATTCTGACATTTATTAAACAAGGCTGCTCAGACAGATTATGCATAATGTTAGGTTACAATAGTGCGAGTTTCATATACCTTTTACATAACAGACCGGTTTCGCGGCGTGAACGACGTTTATGAGCCGAACGATTCTTTCACAAATCGTACATGGCCGACTTTCGTTGACTAAAAGATAGTTTTATCTGTCCTAAATTTGTTAAAGATCATGATAACAAATCTCGCACATTGAAATTAATAGGCTCTTTATCCTTATTCTTCAAGGTCGCCAGAATACGATAAAAGATATTTAAAACAGATTAAAAACCCACCAACCATAGACTATAAAAACAA